TCCGCTCGTCGGTTGTCGGATCTTTGTCTTTTGTAGCTATTTATATTTACTGCCTGTGTCGGCCACGCCCACTCCAAGTAAGCCTTTTTTGGGGGCTTATTAAAACCCAAGAAGGCAGCGAGTGGGAGCTGCAAAAACGGGCATAAGATTATAAACAAAGTGCTCAGTTTTGAGTCTTTGTGAAATATTAAAACACATAATTTACAAGGCGGAGTGGCAGGAAAAGGAAAGCGAAGCGCAAAAAGAGGACCAAGGCAGAGGTCCTGGGGCCGAGGACCAGGAACAATGGCCAGATTAAAACGCATCCCGAAGACAAAGCCAGTGCAATTTGTTGCCAAAGTTCACAAAAAAATGGATTCGACCAGAAGCTGAGCCAAGGAGTTCAGGATACATGAAAGAGGCCACTGGAAAGGGCGAACATTCGGAGTCCTTTGCAGTGGTAATGAACACTTTTCGGCTGCACCATGGTTGAATTTTGGGAATGAGGCTTGGGAAATTTTTAAAAATGATTTAATTGTAAGAGATATTACTGTTTGCATTATGCATTATACCATTGTTTGTAGCAGTTTTTGTTTAGTTGAGTCTTAGGATTATTAAATTCATTTCGCTTTCACTTAATCTGAATAGCCGGTGCCACAGAAATCATTTGTCTGTTGAAATTACTTTTAAAGTCCCTTTTAAAATAAATACAAAATAAAATATATCTTTTGCTCAACCTACTTTTATGAGTTTTTTATATAATTGCCTCTGCATCATAGGTCATAATGTCACTTCAAGCTAAAGTCTTAAGTCTACTCAACTAAACAAACACAATTAGAGCTTAGCATTAACGATATTGTTTTATAATTGTTTATTAGTTGGCTCAAAAATTAAGCCCCAACCAAGAATGGACTTCCGATTGATGTTAGGAAACGAGTTTCTTAGCAAAGGCAGCATATTAACTTGGCCAGGTGGAAGCTCCACACCACCTGTTGGCCGCTCCAAATACGGCGTAATCTGGTTGTTGTGTTGCTCTTGCCATGGTGAAGGATTTGTATTCAGCTTGACAAGGGACAAGGGACAGGGGATGGGGGAGAAAGGACGCGGGACACAGGATTCAATTGACCATGCTGGGCGATGGCTTCTCTTCTTGTGACCGCCACTGCAGCTGCTGCAGTTTCCAGGGTCCATAAATAATAGGCACTAAGCATGTGCTCCGTAATCCGCCAGCAGTGTCCGAAAAATAGGAGAAAAATAGTGAAAGAATATAGCCAGAACACAGCACAACAATCCAGTCCAGTCCACTCCACTCCGCTGGCAGCCACTCCACTCGACTGCACTCCAGTCTCTTCCACTTTCCCACTGCGCTGGCTTTCTTTCGGCTTGGAGTGGCCAAAGGTGCAACTATTTAAGGCACTAAGACTGCCACAAGGCAAGCGGAACAAGTGCACTCAGAAAAAATGCACTCTCGAACGAAGAGCGTTCAAGGCTGATAAGAAGAAACACTTCAAATTGGAAAGGCCGAGGTTGTTAAATTTCACAAGGAATTCAAAAATTAAGCAATCATGCAATCATGTTTAAGAAGAACAGTTTCTTAAAATTACAAATTAAAAAAAAAATGTATTAAATTTTATATTTAAATGTATTTCAGATCCATTCAGAATTAGGCCATCACACATTAGAAATGAACAAAAAAGGTGTCCGTCATTAAAAAATTAGTGTTAACATATATTAATATATATTTAAGATTTTGTTGTTTTATAAAAATTGTTTTAAAATAGTTTTTCTTTGTTAGAAATATAGAAATATTTCGAATACTTAAGATATTACTCAAGATATAAGCAGACGATGTGGTATTACATTTGTAAGCTCTTCACCAATTTTGTTCCCTTGCAAGAAGAAAATTAATTTAACGTCAAATGCAGTACTTACTTAGTACAAGGGAGGCACTTTTGACTCAAAGGGAAGCACTCTTCTTAGAGTGTAAAATAGCCTCGCCTTCTGATTCCGGTGGGGCAGCGCAGCACAGCACAGCAGAGCGCAGTACACAAAAGGATCAAAGTTTCGCCCTGCTCCTGCCCCTTTTAATATTAAATGCTTTGCCTTGCCATGCTCCCTGGGACTCTTGCCTCCGCTTCCTTGCAGATTTTCTATATTTTTTGTGGGCCGGCTAAAGTTTTGCCTGCCTGTTGGGCATCTTCTGCCCCTTTTGGTCGGGCGGCGGCGGAAGCGACCGTAAAAACTTGTCAAGAGTGATAAATAAAACTATAAATAATTATGCTAAATAATGAGCCGGACACAGAATGCCAAAACGCTGACAAAATCTGGACAATGCAACAGAGCAAAAAGCGGTCTAGGACGGGGATTATTCGAAAGCAATCAATCAATAGGGCATTGGCAAATCCTTGTGTGTGTAAGAATAGCTCGTACTTATCTTTTTGGATTTTCGGACTCAATATATAAGCTCGAACACTCCTGGACATTTTTTAAAGTAATTTCCACCCCTGATATGTTTATTTCTATTTTTAGAACAAAAGTTGATTCTGTTTAAAACCTTAATACCTTAATACATTATATATTTATGTGCATTATGTGTCGTAGCTCCTATTTCAAATCGTAATATATATATACCCTGGAATATAATGGTCGAAATGTGGAATGTCATACACCATTGAATTCGTAACAAAATTTCCAATCGAATGGCATTCACAGTTAAAATTTTTTCAGATTTTCAAATTTCTGCAAAAAATGATGATGTACCCCCTTACAAAAAATCCAGAAACTTGGACAAAAATAATTTTTTTAAAAAACGTCTTTCTAAATTCTGTTTTTGTGTCAAAACAAAATTTATTGTTTTAAATTGATCGGGGACGGATGGTATAGGTTGCTAGCTCTTCAAAATAGCAACTCTTTTGACTTTGGATCTTATTTTGGCAAAGTTACAACAAAAAGACTCTTCAGAAATAATTTTGTTTGAAAAATCACAAAAAACACATTAAAAACTTGGTTTTTGTGTCAAAACCCTGGGAAATAATGGTCAAAATGTGGAATGTCATACACCGTTGAATTCGTAACAAAATTTCCAATCGAATGGCATTCACAGTTAAAATTTTTTCAGATTTTCAAATTTCTGCAAAAAATGATGATGTACCCCCTTACAAAAAAGTCAGAAATTTGGACAAACATTTAAAAAAAAAAAAACGTTTTTCTTAATTCTGTTTTTGTGTCAAAACAAAATTAATTGTTTTAAATCGATCGGAGACGAATGGTATAGGTTGCTAGCTATGATCATGAATTGCCTTGAATTTCGTAGGGTTTTTTTTAAGTGCACTTTCGGCTTGTGCTGACCTCGTCCGCTCCTCGATGGCTGGACAAATGTGGCCTCGTTAGCGGCCTGGTCGGTGAAAACGAGTTAATCGAGGGCCGCAAGGACGAGTGGGTGTGTGGCAGAGAAAATGGAAAATGGACTGCGGAAAGCGGAAAGCGGGCTGGACAAGGGCGCTAATTGCGTGGACATGCCAAATGTCGCACCTGACCTGGCCAAACAGGACAATCGGCAAACTGGCGGGCAGGAAAAGGATCAAGGATGGCCACTATGGCTGGTAGGGAATAGCACACAACAGGGGCTGGGATGGCAAATAAACATTAGAGAAAATACAAGAGGGGCGGGGGAGTGAGGCAGAGTGAGGCAGAGCCACATCCACAGGACACAGGCACATCAAAGGGCAATCACACGTGGCTCGTATCCTTTTTTCGCACTTGTCCCCGGTCCGTTTCAGCCCGGCCAAAGGATGCATACCAGAGCAGGGGCAAAAAAACAAACGAGCTGGCCACAATAAAAGCGCAACACGTAATTGTTGTTGCCATCTAATGGCCGATCGAACGAGACGGGTGCAGCTGAAAAGGATAATAGCACGGCCAGGATAATAGCACTCGAAAGGGCCAACAAAAGGAAGCGAACGATAAAACAATCAATCCAAGGAAATGTCCCTATTTGAAGGAACATAAACATATGCCTTAAAGTGATTTCGTTAATCCGAGAGAAATTCGCAGTCTATAAAATAATGAATAATGATACTCCAAAACTGATATTCCCCTATTTAAACCACTAACTTATGGTTAAGTTACTTTAATGAATTAAATGTTCATTAAATTGATTATTTTTATTAAAAGCGCTTAACTTTTCATATTGTAAATATAAATCTTTAAAACATTCTGACCAAAATTAATTAGGAAGTATAGTGCAAAATTCCAAAAGTAAATTCAAATTAAGCTATAAGTTGTTGTACATCGTGTAAAGGAAAACTTTTTAAGTCCCTTAATTTTAACAAGTGATTTCCCACTAAGATTGTCTTTTTTTTTGTTAATTTGCTAAATGACTGAAAGCGCAAAAAAAAAAGGAAAATGACAGAAACCGAGTTCGATGTCCATCGACTTGGTTGGCTTCAGTTGGCAGTGGACCAGGGAAAATAAAAACAAGAGCCAGGACCCCGATGGCCAGCAATCTGCTCAGTGGTAAGTGAATTAAGCGGCACATTCTCCATTCGCCGGCATCACTTGGCCAAGTTAAAGGTTGTAAAAATGTCCGAGCTGCGGAAAAGGGACCATATAGGTATGTGAGCGGAGAGTGGAAAGTTGGCAGACTTGTGGCTGATTTTTTTTTAAGTCCTTGGCGGAGTAGTTTCACCTGTTGGCCTTAGGAATTCTGACCTGTTTCGACAAGGGTAATGATTCATTGACTAATTAAGTTACAATTTCAGTCAAATAAATATTTTAAGCAGCATTACAGCATTACATTTAAAACATAGATTGGCTAAGTAACTTTTTTAAACCAAAGACCTTGTGTCTTTTAAGTGAGTTCAAAAGCTTAAGGCCATCTGATATAAATCATATATCAATACAGCAATTTGAAGCTAGAACAAATCGTGCTTTAAAATATATTGAAAATATTCATACCTATAATGTGATTAATTTAATTACAAAATCTACTAAGAGAATAGTCAAATGAAATATAAGTAAAATAATTAATATTTCCATATTTGAAATACCTAAACTCCGCAAAGAATTAGAATCAAAGCGAAAGATTTTTTAATTGGATATGCTTGGACTTACAACGTTCTTTTTTTTCAGTGTGTGTATACATTTTTTCTTGCCTTTTTTTCTAGTTGTTATATGGTTTTTCCCCGCTTCGTGACCGCCAATGCTGGCGGTTTCGAGTGGTGGGCAAACACGGACATGGCCGCCGGATCGGCAAGTAATCAAAGCTGGACACGAAGCTCGAGGCAGTCGTCCTGGATGTTTGCGCTGCTCTTTGGCGGTTGATGGTTGATGGTTGTTAGCAGTTTCTAGTGGCTGGCAGCTTGAGGGCTAGGCCTGGAACTCGTCCTGCTGCGCCGTGACCTCTGACCTCTTGTAGGGCAACAGCTGCAGCGGTCGGTCCGGCTGCTCCAAGCTGGGCAGCGGTATCAGCACCTGGCCGGTCCTCCGCAGCGGACTGCCCTCCCTGCCGCTCAGGATGTCCCGCTCCAGCTGCTCCTCGCGCCAATGGACACGGCGCTCCCTCTTCGTGCATACCGGTCCATTGCTGGTCGGACTGGAGCGGACACTGTGGATGCTCAGCGCACTGGCTGGCCTCTGTGGCCACCGCCGGGACAGGCTGCCAATGTCCGGCAGACTGCGGCAGCTGCTTAAGCCACTGCCTACGGCGATGTTGGTGGTGTTTGCCGTGGTGGTTGCCGTGTTGGTTGCCGTGGTGGTGCCGGTCTGGCCGAAATGCGGCTCCGGGCCCCTGGCAAACAGCTCCACCACCCTGGGCAGCTGAGCTTCCTTGGGCGCCGACTTGAGGCGATGCAGCGTGATGCAGAACTCCTTGAACCCGTGCACCGTGTGATAGTTATCCGCCTGCTCTCTAGTAGAGCCACCCAAGCCCAAGTCCAAATCCAAATCCAAATCCGCGGAGCCGTTTAGTCCGGTGGCGGAGGCTGCCTGCCGTGCCAGGCCCAACTGGGAACCCTCGTCCAGCCGATCGATGGCCTCCTGCAGGTCGGGATCCAGCAGCGCCACCTCGCGGGCGGTGCGAACGTCGTGGCGCCAGAACTGCTGGTGCCGCTCCACCGCCGGCGCCACTTCCTTGATCCGCAGCACCACCACGCCCATCAGCCAGACGCACACGATGTTCAGCAGTGTGAGGGCCATGCTCACGGCCGCACAGATCAGTAGCTCCATCGGTAGCCTCGTCGAGTACGTGCTGTGCCTCTGCAGGCTCACCAGCAGCTCGTTGTCCGTGGCCAGCCAATGGCAGCCGATGGCCAAAGCCCACAGCAGTCCAGCATTGACGGCCGGCGGCAGGAGGGAGGCCGAAATGGCCACGCCCACCAGGGAGCCCGTATTGCCGCCCAGCACGGCTATGGCGCCGGCTGCTCCCGAGGCCAAGGCCGTGCAGACGCCAATGGCCAGCGAATGGGTGTCGCAGCGCGAGACAATCTCCTCGGTGAGGCCGGCGGAGATGGCAAAGAAGTGGCCAAAGCCACAGACCAGCGCTCCGAACACGAAGCCAATGAGCACGGAGACGGCGATGCCGAGCAGCTCGTTCCGCAGACCCAGCCATTGCAGCTCCCGATCGCCGATCACCGAACCGAAGATGGCCGCTATGATGGGCCCCATCAGCGGTGAGATCAGCATGGAGCTGGACAGGAACAGGAAGCTGTTCTCCACCAGGCCCACGCACGAGAGCAGGGCGGCGGCCAACAGGAGCACCACAAAGTCAAAGGTCAGGGTGGCATCGCGACGCACCTGCCGCACCACCTGGTTCACATTCAGTCGGCAGCGCACCGAATCCATAAAACTCTGCCATCCCTGGGCCTGCTGCTGCTGCTGCTCCTGCTGCTGCGGCGGGCAATGCTGGTCGGGATGGGGGGGCTTGGTACGGATACGGGTTCGGGTTCGAGTTTGGGTGCGGGTCTCGGACACATGGGTGCCGGGGCGCTCGCCAACGCCCCAATCCTGGAGCGTGCAGAGCAGACGCTCGTACCGCTCGTCCTGGGGCAGATCGAAGCGGGCCTGGAGCTGCCTGCCGGCCACGTCCTGCGACCAGAAAACATCCTCCAGCCGCAGCTCCTCGGCAATGGCCCGCAGCAGTTGCTCCAGGCTGGCGTCCTGCCTGAGGTCGCGCAGCTGCAGGGCCCTGCTCTGGCGATCCGGCGGCGGAATGGTCAGGGCCTCGCCGGCCATCTGGTCCAGGCGATGGCAGCGCTCGCATTGGGGCAGCTGCCCCAGGGGTTTGCCCTTCAGCGAGCCACCGCAGCTGAGGCAGCAGCTGTTCAGGCGCAGCTCCTCCGCTTCGGTGGGCACTGTGACCACCACACACACGGCGGCGTTCATGGGTGTGAGTTACTCTGAGGGTGTGAGTTTGTGAGTTTGTAAGGGGGTGTGATCGATTCCGATGTTGTAACTCTGGCCAAGATCACCAGGGTATCGAAATGTGGGTGTGTGAATCGGATCGAATCTGAAGTGATTCGGTCCCGATTTGTCTCTGTGAGGCTACTGCGTTGAGTTTTTATTTGTCAGCAGGTGTGTGTGTGGATTTAATTTTCATTTGTTATATTGTGGTTGCTATTGAAGTGCCTAAAAGTAAACAGCTAAATCTGCAACGCTGTAAATCTATCGCACTTACGAGCTCAAAATTTATTGTTGCATATTTTTGGCCACCTTTAAACCGCTTTTCTTTTTCTTTTTAATTTTTTGAAAAATTAGAAGTTGATCTTATATTAACTACAAAATATATACATCATTACATTTAGAACTATTATAATGTTATATTAAGAATGAAGTGTTTGCCACTCAATGAAATTATTCCTAAGCAGACTTTAGTGAAATTTCTTAAATACGTTTTATTTTCTTCTTGCTTATTTTTCTTTACACAAGTCAATATTTTTCTATTACTTAGACTTATTCAAAAATACAAATCAAATTGAAAACAACAAATTTAACCAAATTAAAAGCAAATCATAGGTTAATTAAATTCAAGTCAAAAAAAAACTTCCTGCTATTTAATATATTTTAAACATCCTTAGTTAAAGCTAATCACGAGTTCTTGGAAACCAATATGGTGGAAATTGAATTTGTGAAAGCTTCCCACATAAAAGTTCTCGCGGAAACTCGCAAATTAAATACCCAACTAAATTAACTACAATAATTGAAGGCCCTCACGCCCGCTGGCATAGTTTCTAAATATAATTGAATTGCCGTGGATGGCTTCGGCTTCCACCAAAGCGTTCAGAGGTTTCTCTGATCCGAGTTTCCTTTAGATGTAGCCCCCGGAAAAGCGTCCTGCGTCCTGCCCGCCCACACCATCGCCTACTTTCCGACTAAGCCAAAACTCACATCAAAACAACGGACATGTCCGTTGCAACATCCTGATGATGAGGACGCCCCTGCGATGATAGAGTTGATGAGAATGATGAGGATGATGATGATGGACACTGCGACAGATGCGCGTTTTATCCTGTTTGCACGCGACTGCGGATGCAGCTAACCCCTGCAGCCCACAACCCCCCAGTTAGCCCCCAGTTAACACCCTAAAACCCCACAAAACCACCCCACCCCCAAGCCAACATTTTCCTGGCGCTGCTGTCTGCGTTTGTTTGCATCCGCTGCAGTGGCTGCTTTGTGGAAGGTCCCCCCCCCACTTCCTCTAAAAACGACCGCCTTTCATTCCCCCAGTTGCCGCATAATCGAAACAACTACAGCAGCTATGAAATACAAAAAAAAAAAAAAAGAAGCAGAAGCAGAACACACGCAGCCTGGAGGTGCAGGGCAGCCAAAATGTCAACAATCTGCAACAGCCATGAAATATTATGAGGCTTTGTGGGTGGGGAAAGTGTGGACACTGCTGGCGTTTCGGCAGTAATAATGCACCACACGAAAGTCGCACGAAAAACGCGTGGAAAATGTAATAAAAAGCGCAGCAAAACCCCCAAACAAACAAACACACACATATATACACAGGTACCGACAGAGAGATGCACTGACCCACACATAAGTGGTCAAGCATGCTTCCTCTTTTTTGAAGGATGTACTCTATCTAAAGGTAAAAGTTCACTAGTAAGTTTATTTGATTTTATTTTGTTACATACTTATTGTACGATTTAAATTTAGTGCCATTTAATATATTTTTAGTTTTCTTGTTTGCTATTTAACTAACAATTATTACTGATAAATATACAAATTTAATTTATAATAATAGAATTTACTGAGAATTCTGATATCTGAGAAGTCTTAAAATTTTGTCTTTTCTTTTTATTTTATTTTATTTTATTTTATTGATTTGCCTTTTCTTAAAAAACAAAATCGCTGTTAAGCCAAACCCTTTCAAAGGGTATTTAACGCTTCGATTCCGCTCCATTTTTCGAATTCCACATTTTTTTGGTGAGTTGCGGCCAGCGAATTCCTGGGGTGTCCATTATCTAGCAAAGTTTTTTGATGCTTTCCTTTTTTGTGAAACCAACGTGTTTCCCATCTGCCATTTTGGAGTTGCTTTTCATAAGGGTGTACACGGCGATAAATAATGTATAACATTGTAACATGGCTATTAGCTGGGTAGGTTTTAACAATACTTTGTGCCATGCAAATTAGTCTTATACTAAAATCTTGAAGTATACAATAATTATCTATTAAGAATCCACTTAAAAGTTTCTTACTTTTTACATACTTTTCGGCACGATAAATGGTCAGCTGGTATAAATATCTACAAATGTGCGGCTATCATTAGTTATAAATATTTAACGTATGTAAAAAAAAAAACGATTCACATTTACAACAAGCTTATCTCTCAGCTCATTTTTTTAACTGGGACATTAACTGCATATTGAGAAAACGACCTCTTTTAAGCTTTATTATATGGCTTGTGCCATTTCCATCGTTTCGGATATAAAAAATTTCATAAATTTAGTTAATTGTCAATAAAGGAGTTTATCTGCAGTAATAAGATTTATTTAAAATAATTTTTAAAAATATCTCAAAAAAGATTCTTAATTACTATTAATGACATATTTTCTCTCCGTGTAGCGAGGCATGTGTGTCCGTCGAGATCAAGCGTCAAAATTACATTGTTGGCATACGCTGCCTTTTTCTGGCCCCAAGTTTTTTGTGCCTCTTGCAGTCCGTCTGCGCCACCACTACCGCTATTGCACTGCACGTCTCTTTCTCTGCCACATATGCCCCTCTCCTTCCAGCATCCTCAGGCTGTCTCCCTCTTGTTCGGTTTGTTGTTGTTGCGGCTCCTGTTGCTCGAAATCCTTGCCATTGTCTGAACGTTTGCGATTGTATGCGTTGTTTTTTGGCCATTTTTTTATCCCCGCCCAACGACTGTCCGCAGAATGTGTGGAGGGGGGCGTGGCAGAAAAGGGGCTGGAAAATGGAATGGGTTAAAGGGAGGGAGGTGGGGCTAGAGGACGCAGGACGCAGGACGCAGGAGTAGCGTTGATTGTTGCAATTTCTCGTTAAATTGAATTCGCTCGTTCAATGCGAGAGCCCAGGGATTCGAAGTGCGAGCATGGGATTGTGGATGGAAAATCGAGGAAATCGCGGGGTAATCTGGACAACGCGGGGGAAGGCGGGGGAAACGGCGGCCTCGAAAATTGGGTGGCAAACAAGGTCCTGCAAGCTGCACTGCTTATTTATGACAAGTGGCCAGAGACAACGGGCGCATGGCTTTTCCGGCCGGACAACGGAAAACGGAAAACGAATGAATGCGACGAGGCATTATGAGATTGCTGGGCTTTGATTTTTCCCCAAAAATTACACAAAACACAGGCGGCTCAACACTCTGGTTTTTCCCCGCACACTTTTTCCAGCCGCTTTTTCACATTTCCCCCCGGCCTCCTCCTCCCCCTCGAACAGCTTTTATCCTCAATTAAAAAAGCGAGCCGCGAAAGCAATGACTGCAAATGGTGCAAATAGCCCGAGGACAAAGGACTGTGCAAATATGTCCAACTGCACGGAAAGAAAATGGGTTACTTATAGATATTTATATGCTTATTTAAGGTTAATAAAACATTTATTAAAAATTATGATCTTTTATAATCTTTTTCAATAATAAATAAGCAATAAATGTAACAAAAAAGTTTTATTTTTTTTATTTTAAGTTTTTAATGATATACGAAAAAGTGTGTGTATCGTTAAAAATTAAGGCACAAATTACACTTGTTACACAACAAATTTGCATCAATAAAACATACTTTTCTAATCGATTTTTATATGCTGAAAACGTATCAAATCGTTCTCAGTACCAGTTTAATGGAATTCGTCCAGTCAATTAGGAGTAATGACTTTAACCCATGAACTCCAAATTTTGCTTAATGAACTATGGTTGAACAAGTTCGCTCAGTGTAGCCGAGCAGTCGCGGGAATCAGAGATAATGACAGCAGCAGTGTAATCTTGATCTGAGGGCTGCAATGATTCATGACTCGTCATCGCATTGTGAGGCACGCTTAATGGTTGACGCCATGGGTTAATTGATGACAGCTAGGCTCAGTATTTCCCGCTTTTCGCCCACGAAAATCCCCGATGGCCCATTGTGAACTGAACTCTGCCGAGTCCCAAGTCCCAAGTCCCAAGCCCCAAAACCCAGATTGTGGTAATTTTCAAAGTGAACCGAACAGAGCAGTTTCAGAATTATGCTTCGCATTAAAATGCAATTCACATTTGTTGCCACTAATTGAGATGCAGTTCGAGGGCGAACGAACACTCGAATTTTGGCCGAATGATCGGTAAGCATTTGGGTAATGAGCTGACTAAGGGCTTAGGCAGATACAGGGGATATACAAAGAGTGGCAACTGGCACTAAAGCCCAATCTTAGCCATTCCAATTACTTAACTGAAATGCCCAATGGAAGCGGAAGCGGAGGCAAAGTGGCAAATAAATAAGGTGCAAACACGTGTTAGCAGTCGGAGAAAGGAACGGAGTGGAGTGGAGTGGAGTGGCGGTTGCAAACAGGAGCAGGTAGCAGAATGCCCGACGTTATCCTTATCATTGTTATACTTAAGTTAACAGCAGCTTAAGTAAGCAAACGCACACGAGCTTACGCCAGTAATCAAGCACACACGCCCTCAAATCTTGGCTTTTATGGTTGCCGCACAGTGGGAATAAATGGTATTAGTTTGTTGCGTGAACAACGATATTTTTTTCATGGCGGCTCATTGATCTATTAAATATAAATTGCTTCTAAAGTATATATAACTTAATTAATTTTTTTATAAAACTCGTTTAAACATTTTTTGAAATTAAAACAAAATCCTGCTTAATTTAACATTTGATTCATTTCAGTAGAAACGTCTTAAAAGGTTTATTTACATTTTTCATACTAACAGCGCTTGAGCTTTATTTTTTAATTGTCGCAAAACAGTTTTCTATTTTTCAAAATATTATATTCCACGAATTTTGGCATTGTTAATAACTTTTTAAATAACTTGGGAGAAACTTTAAAAAGTAAAAAGTCCGCACTTTCAAATCTCTTTTATGTAAAACTAGTTTTTGGGACTTAACCGCCTCCTAAAAATAAACCGCAATTGTAAAGAAAATATTTTCTCCGGAAATCTGTTATCCTCCGAATGATTAAATTTCACGATATTCGCGAATACAGTTTTATTCTAATCAGGAAATTACCTAAAAGCAACCCACTGTCCCGGAGGACTGAACCCATTCTTACCGCTCCCCTCGAGCGATTGCCTCCGGCAGAAGACCTGGCTTGGGGTAAGGTGGAAGGGGCAAGGGGGGAAGGGGGGTCGGCACTTGCCTCATTTTGTGGCAGGCGCAAATCCCCATAATCAGAAAGCTTTTGCACTTTAGTTGTGTTAGTTTCAATTATATAAACAACGGCAAGGACGAACAGTTGGCAGTGGAAATGGCAGCCGAAGAACCAATTACCGCTTGATTTAGCACACGCACACGAATGCAAACACAGTTACGCACTCACACTGGCACATTCGCACACCAGCACCCACACCCACTGGCAATCACACACTCACAATCGCAATCACACTCACATGCATTAGCCGTAGAGCCATGACAAACTTATTGAGATTCATTGAGCAGATTGTGATGCTTCAGTTCAGTGGCCATGGGTGGCTTAAAAGGGGGCCAAGGTGGCTAAGGGAGATAAGAGGGGTAAGGGGAAGGGAGGGGGCCTAAAAGGAGAGGGCAAAAAGTGGGCGTGGCTGGTTTGTGGGCTCTTGTTGGCTGGTTTGTTAAGCAGACAATGGCTAATGCTTCAACTGGTAAATACAAACACAAATATGTATGTACACTGAAAAACATTGAAGGCATGGATGTGTTTTTGATCCAACAGTTGGGGAATACATTTTAGGAACTTCTAAAAATTTAATTTTTTTTTTTATTTCAAATGTATTGAAACCTTATTGATATTCCTAAAAAATTGTTTTCCATGTCCATAAATCTTATTTATAAATAAATTGTATTTAAAATACAATATAAATATCTAAACAAAAGCTATTTATTGAAACTTCAGACACTTAACTATAAAAATAGATAGTTCAGTATAAACTTAACTAGTTGATCCGTTTAAAAGTTATTAAGTGAACACTCATTAGCCACAAGTAGAATATTATAAAAGAAATGGTGAAAGTTAAATTAAAAGTTTTATATTAAATGAAGGCACTGAGAAGCATTTAGTATTTTTTCCACCACTGTATGTGTGTTTACGCGTATGTGTATGGCCGGTTGTGTGAGTGGTTTGTTTACTTTGCATAAAAGCTCAGGCATTGAAAACTAAAATACTGCACAACACATTGAAACTTTGTATTTCAAAGCATTAGGCGCCGTTTCATTTATATTTTATGCAAACACAGATAAGAACGCACACAGACAGACACAGCTTGCAAGCGTTTAAGTGTCTGTGTGATTGTGTGTGCACTTGTACTTAATATTTAAATAAACAGAAGTTTCCTTTTACCATAGCACAGTGGGCCATAAAGTTCGTTTTTTATTTCAATTTAAAGTGAAAACACATTTTGAAACCTACATAAACAAAATAATTGGATTTTTTTGATATAACAAACTAATGTTAAAAATTGGTTCTTCTTATTTATTTTTAATTTGTTAAAAGAAAACTTTTATTATAACGTACCAGTAGGTACCAGAATAAATTGGCTAGAGATATACCCACACTTAAAGATTTCAAATGTCGGTGTTCACGAATCCGAACTCGAACAAAAGTGACTACAATTTATTGTATTTAATATTTTTTTTTATTTAATGTTTACAATTTTTGTATAGGACATTATCAGCTTGATTTTACAAAGCCTAACCAAATATTGTATAAAACTTAAGCTTCAATGATGTAAACACTTGGACAAATATAAAATAAAACATGTTTTTGACAGAAAAATTTAATTTCGCTGACCACTGTGCATCGACAGGCTTACAAAAGACACACACCCATACACATCTAAGCCCATTTTCACATCCCCTTTTCTATTTTTTCAAGGGTATGGCAAGCATTTTACAGTTGTTAAGAGTTTTATGGACCAAGCCATCTTGATTTCCATTTCACCATTTATTGCCAAAGATGCATGGTTCTCATTCAAATTATAAATGGTCTGAGTGGCTTTTTTGCTGTTTAGTTTTGTGTATAGCACTTAATTTATTATAAATTACATTAATAAAACGCTGGTTTCTCGACAATTTAAAACAAGTCCTTTAGCTAGAAAGTACCTATATTCAATAGTGAAAAACAATTTTTGTTTGAAATGAAAAATGTTACCTCTATCAATTGCCTAAAAGTATGCAGCAGAAAAAACCAAGCCCAAACTGCGTTCCGCCACTTGCCCACAGATGGCGTGCATGTGGTGTGGAGTGCGGGTAACATTGCGATTTAAATTTCTAGCGAAGGCAGGTGTTAGTGGGCCGGAAACAAGATGCCACCGCATCTCCATCTGCTTCTGCATCTGCATCTGTATCCACAGTCAGCTCAGCTCAGCTGCTGCAATCAGCGACTAATGCAGCTCGTTAGGCAAACACACAGATGCTGGCACACATGATTTTATTCGCCATGTTAACATGCCGTCTGCATATGTTTGCCAAGGACATTTCTCGACAAGAGACTGACGAAAAAAAAATAAAAGGGGGGAAGGAAGTTTTGGAACTGCTGGGAAAAGTCTAAATTTTCCTAATGCCATTTCTTTCGGCAAACAGACGGCGGGCCTCTCACAACTACAACGCCATATTTTGGCAGATATTTTTACATATTTTGTTAGTCACTTCGCAGTCTATAAGTGTGTGTGTGTGTGTTTACCCCCCTCCTCTCCCATCCCCACAGAGCCTGTGAGCGAGGACTTCCTGTAGCTGATTTTGTTTCCATCTTTCGAATTTTCGGCCGCCCTTTTATTCGATTCCAGAATGGATTCGTCGCGGACTGGCAGCTATCGTTCGCCAAGCCGCGCTTTTTTTGCCTTTCGCTGCACTGATAGTAACTACGTTTCAAGATTGTGTGCTAAACAAAATCACAATGTGATAACCAATAAATCGGCATTAAAAACTGCAAAAAAAGTGCAAATAAAACTACGTCAAAGAGCCATTTAATTAAAATATTTTTTTGAATTTTAAATTTACATAAAACAAATCTTAGCATTGCTTTACAAATATAAAATCCTAGGTATTGTCAGTTAAAAAGATTGTAACTTTACAAACAATTATTAATTGAAAATTATAAGTAATTTGAAAATGTGGAAACAATTATTTATTTCTCTCGGTGCAGGGCGCAAATAACTCTCTTCGACAATCCTTTATGCCAGTTGCCACCGAAAGCCATCAAAACCATCCGTCCTTCCATCTGTCCACCTGTCGATCTGCCAGCTGATTTTTGGTCTGTGCCTTTGTTCTTTTGCCAATTTGCAGTGCGATGGTCCAAATACCCGACTTTCGGCCAGACTTTTGAGGGAGGGGAATGACGAAGGAATCTTCATGAGTTGCAGTCGCGTGGCAGTTGGCATTACGGTTGAATGCGTTTCGCCCGAAGCTCTTCTCGAAGTTGGCCGCCTAATCCCGCATAATCACACCGAATTCATGGTGCGATACTTACCGCAGACTTTTGGCCAGCCATCAAATCGTGGGGAAGTCCTTGCCCGAATTAAAAAAGACTCGGTTTTTGCATTTTTGCATTTTCGCATTCGTTTTTCTTTAGAACTTTGGTTGTTGGTTGAATTTCAATTGACAAAAACATGTTGGTGCCTGATTCGATTCGTTTCGTTTCGTTTTGGGTTGAGTAAATGGATCGAAACACCTCTTCTATAACTATATACATGCATTACACTATATTTTCGGCTTTAGTTTTGATTTCTGTTTACAGTGGTTAGCATAACTATTCAACTTACACGCTAAGGATATATACTCGTGTTGTTTCAGTGGATGCGTTTGAAAATGCTTCGATTTGAATGGCCTTTGCACTATATACACAGAGACAGCTACAACAAATGCTTCGGGTTTACATTAGGTAATATTATAATAGAGATAATGTTACAGTCGAACTTCCATAAGTCGAGACTTTCAGCGTTAAATTGCCAAAAGACTTTGAGTTGTGCAAGTTCGACTGGAGTTAAATAAAAAAAAATGTAAATCAAAAGATTCAGGGTATACAAATACATTTACCTAAGTCTAACAATCAATTCGTAAGCCTAAATAATCACAATTAAATATTGCTAAGGTTCGCAACAACGACAGCAGCACGCACATATAAAACTATTGTAATATAAAAAAAGGTCCCCCTAAAATTAAATCAACAACTTAAAAAAAGAAAGCAGTTTAAATAACACAAAAAATAAGGTATAAGGTATGGTATAATATAATGCCAGGGCAAAAAAAAAGAAGAGAAGAAAAAATAAGAAGGGCAATGGGCAAAAGTTGTTGCTAAGTAGTGTGTTTCTCTCAGATATGCTATTTACAATTTGGCATTTGATTAAAACATTAAAAGACAATAAATATTTACTCTGACAAGGGCTGAGTGCAAGGGTGAGACAACTGTGAACAAACTTCAACACGCAATTGAAACGCTGTTGCTGACACGACACTAAGTTACACTAGACTACACGAGACATCCAGCGACATCCAGCGACATCCTGTGGCTCTAAGCGCTCGCAAGAGCCAGGAGTTGCTGCCGTGATTCTAATTTGCTGCTGATGCTGCTGTTAGCGGCGAGTTGCTGCTGCTGCTGCTGCTGGCGTGTTGCTGCCGCGAAATGTGCTGAAGAACCGCAGCAACAGTGACTGATCCTCTCCATTGCGATCCACTTGGCGATCTACATGCCAACCAATGCTCGGAAGCCACCAAAAGGGCGTGTAGCCATCTGGGTTGCTGCTGCTGCTGGGAGATGTTGCTAATGTTGCTGATGTTACTACTGCTGCTGGCTCTTCAGCCAACTGTTCTACTCTAATTATTTTACTATTTCTATTGCTACGATTAGTAATACTCAAATGATTTGTTGCTGTTGCTGCTGATGCTGCTGATGCTGCTGATGCTGCTGCTGCTGCTGTCGTCGAGCTGCTCTCATTAGCCTGGCTCGATGTTGCTGCTGTCTCTGTGGTTGTTTCCGCTTCACTTGTATATCGGCCTAATTGCGGCATCACCTTTGACCAATTTGGGTAGGTTGCCTTCTCAGTTGACGTTGCTTCTGTGCTAGTTGGCCTGAGTTGCTGTTGTTGTTGCTGTTGTTGTTGCTGTTGCTGCTTTCGCTGCTTGCCCTTTACCAGCTCGTTGATGAGCCGCAATTCCTGTTGGGCATTCATTTCACTGGAGCTGGTGGCTTTACGTACCACTGCATCATCCTCCTCACCCTGGCCACCAATTGTATTTGTCATTAAATTGTCATTGTCACTCGCCGGCATATCATTCTGCTCGATCGGTTCGCTGGCAGTGCTGCTGCTGCTGCTGCTATTGCTGCTGCTGAGCTCTGGTGTTGCTGTTGTGCTGCTAGCAGCAACATCTTCGACAAAATGCTGATAATGAAACCGGTCAGTGGAGCTCGAATCAGCTGCAGTTGTGGCTGCTGATGTTGCTGTTGCTGTTGCTGTTGCCGCTGTTGTTGTTGTCGTCAGCTGAACCGGTTGCACTTTCGATTTTATCAAGACCAGGCGATTTTCACGTTCATCTATCTCGGGTTCTTCTTGCGGATGTGGTGATGTTTGGCTGGAGCTGAAGGTGGAGGTGGTGCTGGTGCTGGTGCTGGTGGTGCTGGTGGTGCTGGTGGTGGTGGTGGTGGCAGGAGGAGATGTATCCATTGACGCCTCCGCAACCGTTGTGTCGTCTGTTATGGTTGTTGCCGTCTCTGTGGTGTACTCCTCCTCCTCCTCCTCCTCCAACTCCCCCTCTTCACTTGGCACTATATCAGTGGTGGTCTCCTCCTCCTGCTCCTCCTCCTGCAGCTCTTCGGCTGTCTCATCCGTCTGCTTGGGCTTTGCATCCTGGTCGGCAGTGAGAGGCGGCGCCACCTTACGGTGACTGAAAAGTGGCGGCAGCAGCTCAATGCTGCCATCGTAGGCCGGCAGAAAGGCGTCGACCTTGAGCAGCTGGGCCAGATCGGCCTCCGCATTCGCATTGGCATTGGCGTTCGCCGTGGTAAATGAGTCATCGGGATCATCGGTGAGCGAACTGGTCACCAGCTGCACAGAGCCATCCTGCGCCTGACCCGCCGGCAACACAATGGCCTCCACTTGGCCAAAATCGCTGGTGTTGCTGGCGTTGCTGGTGTTGCTGTTGCCGTGGGCCACTGTTGTCGTTGTGGACAGCGCATTGCTGGGAGCAGCCTGCAAATCCCCCCCAGCAATGCGATTGCCGGCAGCATTGCCCTCAGGGGCGGCTGTCGTCGTGGTTGTTGTTGCCGTCGTGCTGGTAGATGTCGCTGCTGAACTGTTGATGCTGCTGCTGCTACTTGCATGTGTTGCTGCCACCATGTCCGGCGGCAGTGGCAGCTCCTCGGGCTCAACCGTGCCCGTGGCCGAGCCCGTGCCCGTGGGGAATTTCTTCTCGAATATATTGAACTTGAGGGGTGCATCCTCGCTGGGCAGCGCCTGATCCTCTGGTCCTGCGTTGGGCGCCACATTATCCTGCATGGCAGTTGGTATGACAGATAGATCGTAGACGATCTCCTCGCTCTCCATGTCGTCGCCATAGTCATAGTCGCCGATGGGCGGCGGTGGGGGATTGCCGTTCGAGGAGCCGGCCAGTATTAGTTCCTGTTTGATGAGGTCCGTGGGATCGATGTTGGACTGCGGTATGCAGAGCTGGTTGTACAGCGTGTGACCCGGCGGACAGTGGCGAAAGGGCAGCGTGAATATCGACTTGGCCGTCACCTTCTTCTCCTTGGTGAGATTTCGCTGCTCGGGGTCCAGGCTGACCCAATCCTCCCACACCATCCGCTGCACGTTGCCCTCGATGGGTCGCGAGGTGATCGGCAGGCCGTTGTTGGCACCCAGGAAGACCGTCAGCGCCAGGACCGCCAGCAGGCAGTGGGGCGGTGCCATTGCTCCGGAATCGATCGCTTATTCCTGCCAAGCGCTGGAAAAGTACAAGAAAACGGGTCAGCAATGAGTAACTAAGTCGGTGACGGGGCAGAAAAAAAAAGAAAAAGAATAAAGGGGCACGGGATGGGGCACCGCCAACAATGCCCTTTGTGCCCCAGCAGCTGTTCCTCTGTCCGGGTCACCCATCATCCCATCATCCCATCAGCCCATCAACCCATCAGCCCATCACCCGTTACCCCAACCACCCACTGCGTTCTCTGTGGTCGAGGGATCAACAACAAATACCGGTTCTGTGGCCGCACACAAAGCGGTGCAATACGGTGGGACAAATGGGTAAACAAGACCATATAAATGGTCCATATAGATATTAGACATATCAGTAAAACCAAAACGGTAGAAATGCATGAGACGTATTGTTTTAAAATACGCACAGAAAAGATTTAAAACCTTTCTCTGCACTTGACACTGTTTTAAACCATTTGAATTAGAATTCTACAACAGATTTGTTATCTATTTATGATAGATCATGATCGATTTTGGAATTGAGTAGACAGTACTGGTCATTATATGGTCACTAAAAACTTTTAGTGCAACTAGAAATGTATATATTACTATTAAATAAATATATACAAATATTAATATAAAGTATTTTTTTTATTCTAATATTTAATATATAATATTTATATAGATAATCAAATTTTTTTTTTAATCAAATTTTTTTTTCACCTCTCTCTAATTTTAAATTCCCTTTTTTCCCTTTTTTCTCTGCCCAACCACTGTATTTTGAGGAGGTTTTGGATTCAAAGATGAAGACGAAGTTGCAGGCGGCTTCGCACAGTGATTGTGAGCTTGGCCGTCGCTTTAATGGTTATATCAACGGCTCCACTCGCACACACAAAGACGGCACCAGATCACATCGCACATCACTCATCGGTGTTGTCATAATCAACAGCAATAGCAACAATAATAATAATAATAATAGCAGCAACTGCAACTACTTGTTGCTGCTGTTGTCGCTGCCATTATCGTTCCTGATGTTGCTGCTGTTGTAGGTGATGTTGCTGTGTATGTTGTTGCTACTGTTTGCGCTGCAGTTGTTGAGCATATTGCTGCTGTTTCTGGCCATATTGCTGCTGTTTTTCCTGGTGTTGTTGCTTATGTTGTTGCTGTTTTCGCTATTCCTTTTTTGTTTGTTGTTGCTGATATTGTTGCTACAATTTCCAAAGACTTATTTGTGCCATTTTTGCAGAGTTGCTGCATTTCTCACTGTTGCTGGTAATATTTGAGGTAAACAATAAATAAAATAGCTTTTGCTGCTCGTATTTTTATACATGTTTCATATATAAAATGTTGCTTCTGTTGTGATTGCAATTTTTGGAGATTTTTTCGGGATCATTATCATACTGCCAAATTATATTGTTGCTGCTGCTTCGCCTGCCTTAAGCGCACACGTCGAAATCCAAATCGACCGTCAGCGGCACGCACAAATGCCCACTTATACCACACGGCGGGAGAGGGAGCGAGAGGGAAGCGGTTAAAGCGGGACAGCGATAGGGGGACACGCATGTGAGTGTATATAGTACATATAAATATGTAGGTTATCGTGGGGTTCTCAGAATTTATGAGTTCAAGTGTGTGGCACTGCGACCGCGACTTTTCTAACTGTTGCACTCAAGTTTATGGTTCTGGCTGCCGCTCCTGTTGATGTTGCTGCTGTTTCTGTTGCTGTCGCTATTGCTGTTGTTGCTGTTGTTGTTGTCATTATTACTTGTTAATAGCCCTTTTGGAATCGGAAAGTGCGTGTGTATCGCTGTCTCTGGGTCGCGTATCGGTCGTAAAAGCCGACCGCAGCGGAACTCTCATCATCTCTTCTTTTTTTTCGAGGCCCGTGTGTCTGAATGTCAAGTACCTAGTACAGATAGTAGTGTGTGTGTGTGTGGTGTGTGCTTGTGTGGTGTTGTTGGACCTGCCCGATAAGGTTAATGTCACAACGGTAACGGTATTATATAAAGCAATGACTTTGACACCTGCAGCACTTGAGGAAGAGAAGTTGCGGGAGATCGCACCTGGCACATGAGTAGATATCGTGCCTAGGGGGGCGGAGGTAAAAAACTATTTCAGAATAAAGCCACACATCTCTCAAAATAGTGACCCAATTAAAAAAAAAATCGAATTTCGTGTGTAAAAGATTAGGTAAGGAAGTATAGGAAACAATCAATGCCCCTCTTGTATCTCTTATATCTTTTATAATCTTATTTTAAATGATTCCTAACTAATTGTCGCTTAATAACATTTACACTTAAAAAAAGGCTCCATATTTAATATAATTTTATCAAGAATAGTTTTGTGTTACTTTTAATTACCGAAAATTAATTACCTCATTTTTCTACTGCTGCAATCGGCAATCGTATTCGATCCGCTTGATGCACAAATGCACATTTGCCTGGCTTATCCCATCACTGGCCCAGCCACTCTATATCCTGCCTCGATTTGCTAATCTATATTTATGAAGCCGCCGGGAAAGGGAGCCCAGCAACCCATGGAATCCACCATTCATGTCCTGGCCCTCGGCGGACATGTGATGACTGCTGTTCCGGGCCGTCACCAGCCATCAACTGTTATTTCAGCCACGAGAGTCCCGTAAAAACCTTTCTAAAAACTGCCTTCCCCTTTGCCCACCCTACTGCAGTTCACCAAAAAAGCCCCTAAACTGCTGCTACCGCTCGGAGAATCGGATCGAAAAGCCCCTTCCTCTGTGGTCAACAAACGAACGGACGTAATGGGTCGGACATCATTCCATCATTCTATCAGTCTATTCCATTATTCCATCGCCCATGTCCTGTCCTAAACACCATCGGAATATCCAGGGTGGGGACTTCGGCTTCCCATTGGCACCCAGTTGAGCTTCCTATATCAGTTCATCTGTCAGTTTGGCGGGGCCCAAATTGAAATCAACTTCACACGTCGCAAATTTTTAATTAAAAATCAGCAACTGATGTCAATTTTCGGTGGAGCTCTCCTCAGCTCCTGTTTCCTTGCTCTTTTTTTTCGCTGTTTGTTGATTTGGACAACATTTGATGCCTTTAACGCGGACATGGAGATAAAGATGGAGATACAGATAGAGATAGAGATAGACATGGACATAGAGATAGATATAAAAAAAGAACAAGAAACAGGGAACAGGACATTTTGGCATGTGGATATGGATGTGTATGTGTTTGTGTATGTGTATGTGTATGTGTATGTGCCTGCTGTTTGTACATAATTCCGCAAACACGCATTGACATCTTGCTAATATAAAACAGCAACACGTAGAATTCGGTGTTGGGTGCTTCGTGCCGTCACGTATTCAATTCGATTCAATGATTCAATCCCGCATTCCGTATTCCGTATACCGTATTCAGTGCTCTGTGCTCTGTGCTCCGCAGTTTGTATCCCGAGTTCCCGTATCCTGGCAAACACGCACAGTCAGCCTGGATTTCCCGCAGCTACGTTACCGGAGTCCTCGGTGCGTGCACTGGAGTCCTCAGATTTTGGCTTTATCGAGGCACAGGTCCTGTCCCCTCATTCATTTGAACACGATTTTCCTGCTACAGCCTTTTATCTCAATATATTTTCCATCTACACTTGCTCTGGCTTAACGAGATTCCGCATATGTCACAGCCTAAAGTTATATAGTGTATTGTGGACCGTTTAAATTATCCAAATAAATTTTAGTTTATAGTTCAAACATTTTAATAATGGCGAAAAATAGCTTTAATTTGTATACCCAAATACTCTTTTAATACCTTTCCATTTATTTTGTATTTTCAGGTTGATGACTGCCTAAATGTAAAAGTAAGTAAACCATGACAAAAACATTACCTTCAATAATAATTTGGGCTTATTGCTAAAATCAAACTAATTAGCATTAATATTATATTACATATACAATTATCAGACTTGTGAACTCTGTTTTGAATCAAGTTACTAGATGAATAGCTTATGGAGGTAATACATTAAACTATTGTGATTGGGTGAAGGAAATACCTAAGAAAGTTGAATCTCAGTACCTTAAAGCTGCATTAATTTAATGCTCCACCAGCTGAAATCTCTTTAAATAGTCACTGGCTAAAAATATTTTCTTCGCTGAACATTTTCCTCTGTAACTTGATGAATAATTTATAAAGTACCGGGCATAAAAGCCCGTTAACTGACAGGTCAATTGCATCATTTGTGATCTCATCGAAAACCCCATCCCTCACACTTTGGCGTATAATAGCATAGCTAATGGCCCATAGAGGGGCTGGAAAAACATCTGGGCATTCAATTGGCCATTGCTGAAAGTAGTTCAATTAGCCGCAAGTGCGGCCATCCAGCAGATACTTTTCAGACAGATAGATAGATAGATAGATAGATAGATACTCGCCGACGCACGGGCCACAAAAATGTGTGCAAATGCGACCATTAGAAGGCCTTATTATGCAGGCGACTGTGCCAATGTCTGGCCAAGAATTATACAATTCCGAATGTATATGGCCAACCAACTATTTGTATCTGTATCTGTATCTCTACTCGTATTTGTATCACTCAGTGTGCCATTGCCCACACATGTGGCCACTTTTTACATTTTCACAGTGTCAACTAGTACCAGTTTTCGAGTTCGGTTTTCTTCGCCACATTTTCGGTGGCTGGTTAAAAATTGAAAATGCAAAACTGAAACGTAACGAATTGAGCCGAAGTGAAGCACATGTGGCTGCTATTGCCAAGTTACCGATGACTTTGCAGCCGTTGATGTTGCTGATGCGCAACAAGTGGTCACAGCAGCAACATGCAAAGCAGCAACAGCAACAGCAGCAACATCAACGGCAGCAACAGCAGCAACATCAACGGCAGCAACAGCAACAGCAACAAGAGCAGCACAAAGTGGTTCGCAGTGGTGTCATTTAGTTTTTATTGCCGCTTAACTGCCGTCTTAAATGCTCCAAATACACTCAGAAAAGTCATTATCTATAAAAAAAAAAAAAAAAAAACAACAAATGTGATCCAAAAAACTCTATGTAGTAAATTGAGCGTTGCTTTTAAAAACAACAGAACAAAATAATAACAAAACGCAATTCTGTATAAAAAACGAACTAAACTAAGTAGCGTTTAAATGCCAGGGACTCTGATATTTGAATCGGTTGTTTTAAACTAACAAAATGTTGAGTTCTTGAGAGAAATCGATCTTCTATTTAACTATTCTGAGTTGTTACAAACCCGGTTTGCAGCAAAATATCATTTTTTTTATAGTGTGAACATTACTTTAAGATAAGTTCAATAAATACATTATTGGCAATTTTATAAAAAAAAATGTAATTTGTAATTTAAATGTTTTGGATCTAAACATTTAAAATTAGAGTTAGAGACTTTAAAATAGCAAATCCTTGTTTAATATACAAAATAAAAACATTAATGGTTGTTGTAAACTAAGCAATGTCTATTCATTTGGGCACTTTCTTTACAATTTAAGAAGACATACAAAAATTCCGAAATTTCTAGTGCCCAGAAGTGTGTTTGTTACAAGTCACGCTCTGTGGGAATCGTGTTTTTCTCTCAGTGCATGGACAATCACTCAGTCGCCTGATGACTTGGCTGGGCTGCCAAAAGGTGGCCCAAAGCAACGGACAGGTTTTCTCGTTACTGCGGCTATTGTTTTCTCAGTTTTCTCAGTTTTTTGTTTTTATTTCTTCTTTGTCGCTTGACGACAAGGCACTTGAAAACCGTTACAGTTAACTTGGATTCGAATTTGAGCTCTGAAAACTGTAAAGAAGTTGGCTCAAAGTTGGCTGAATGCATTCGCATGAGATCACTGGGCCCTATCGCTGCCACAAAATCAGCATTCCGACATCATATACTTGATGTAAATGCATCAGAATCCGCAGACAATCGATGGCGTTTGTTCAAATGCAAATTCAGATCTCATTTTGCATCTGCCCCTCATCGTTTGCAAATGAAAAGTCCATTGCAGTCTCATCATCGGCCGGGAAATACATACGTGCTCAAACAAATCACACGCCAATTTTCCCAACATGTTTATGGGCTTTTCTTCCCCCATCATAAACTATTAAACTATTCAAGTCGTAAATTGATTTCCAAACGAACCGAAAAACGAAATGCGTGTAAAAATCGGGCGTGAGAAACGCAATTAGTTTTCAATTACCACACGGCGAGTGGAAAATCGAATCGAATAGAATCGAATTAAATTAAACGCAGCAGGTGGCCGCAAAGGGTCAGGATCGGATCAGTTCGCAGTTGCCAAACCAAATTGTATCAGTTGTATCACATGGCAAATGCAATTCTTAGGCCGAAAAACAAATCCAATTTGGGGCACACGCGCTCGGATCGACAATTAACCATTAACGATCGACGATCAACGATCGACGATCGCAATCGTCCAGCCGAAAATTGTTTACGACAAGAGTCGTGTGGCCTGTGTTTTCCTCCTTCTCCCTTTTGGGTTTTAACTTGTGTTCTGTATTTTGGCTGGTGGTGGTGGTGTTGTGGGTGCGGCCATTCGGTCTTCGAGTTATAGTAAAATCGGTGGTGCCCCGATGGGTTCGGTTGTACGCCTTGGCACAGGCCACAAACACGCCACTGACTGAATGAAATGCGCACGCAGACGCGTGCCGAATTCATAAAAACGCATTCGCACTCGAATCGATTTACTTTTCGGTGGCACTTAGGCCAGAGCACGACACAAAGCCCCCAGAACGACAAGCCAGGCACGAAACTTGAGCCCAATAAAATGAAAAGCCCCAAAAGAAGTAAATAAGACAACAAAATAAAAGTAAACAAACGAGCAGCAATATTGAAAATTAACCAGTCGATGAGCGATGAATAGAATAATATAACTTGGCCACAAACATAAAAAGACTAATCTAGTTGATGGATTTAAAAAAAAAAACATCTGTTAGCAAATTATAGCCATCAAAAGGCATCAAAATATACTATAGGACAAACAAATCAACAAATGAATAAAGTGCACTTCTACTATTATTTTAAAATACAAATTTACAACTTAATGTGGATTAAGGATTATGGCTTTATTTTGGATACAATTTATAGGTTTATCAATTAAAAATTCTCAAGTATCGACTCTTGCCCTTATCATGTTCTGATATGAGCTCTGTTTAGCTTAATCATTTGCCTTAAAATGTATTTCACAATTGTAAATTCTTTGGGGGGAACAGAAATACTTGATTTACACATTCCCCTGGGAGATATTTAATCTCTTAAAGCTCTTACAAATCATTGACGGCTGCTGGAGGACAGTGCGAAGAATCCCCGAAAGTATGTCGAAGTTATGGATTTTTCCCACAGTGTCTTTACATTGCCCAACGACATAATCTGCCGCCCCCTCCGAAAAATGGGACGGGACATTAGCATAAGTAGCGATTAGAGGCTACCAAATATCGTGAGTGAGTCTAATTTGTTGCCCTCGTCTAAGTCTGATATATGAATCGTTTTACTGTCGATTTTTGGGGAGGCGGGGCTGTGGCTATAATTTAGGTCCCCTCTTCGAATGACGCAAAGAGTTTTTGTGGAAGATTTCCATGTAACAAATTCTTGTCTTTATCGTAGACTCTTTGTACTTACAAACCCTATTTTCCTTGCGAAAAAGTAAACAAAAACCAATGGTTACTAAAGATGATGCATGATTTTCCGCACTTTTGCCCTTCGTTTTACTCACGTTTTATTAGTGATTTCTGCACAACACTTAAGGGAAAACGTTTGTTGGGTCTTGGATAACAAAATATAATTATTTTTTCTGTTTTTAGAATATTCTAATAAGTTTTGGTTGGTTTTGTGGTCGTGCCATTCACAAGGTTTCACTTAAAAAAAAAAAAAAAAACAAAGAACGCACTGAGACCAGAATTTTAGCAAAAGATTTTCTAGTTTTTTGTTTTGTTTTTGGAGCGACTTGTATAGCTGGAGATCTGAATACAGACTGAGTGGAAAATACAGGAAAAATCACAGAGAAACCAAAACAAAATCTTAGCCGAGAGCAGTGAGCGCACACAGCAGATGCAAAGATACAAAGATACAAAGATAATGAGATACGGAGATACAACGATATTCATGTGTGAGAAATACCAAGAGCATGCTGTAGATAAACTTACGCAATATAAAGAACCAAAGAGGCCAGAACCCGCTATGGGAAAGTATCTCTATCTGCATCTGTATATGTATCTGTATCTGTATCTGTGACTGTAGCTGTATCTGTATCTGTATCTGCGGCCGAACAAGTATCTGTATCTTCATGCTCTTGCGATTTGGCGGTAAATCTCTTGCTACACTTGTTTGTTTTGATCCTGAGGACAGGTAGATAGGTAGCTGCAACTCGTATCTCGTATCTCGCATTTCCCATCTCCCATCTCACCTCCACATCTACCTGGCGATCAGCCTTGAGATATTATCTTTGGCCAGAGCGAGATAGGGATCGATGGATAGCAACGTCCTTGCGAGGCGAGCGCCAATGTATCTGCATCCGCAATGTATCTTCTGCTGATAGCGGCAAACACGCGAACGATACACAAACTTGGCCCTGAAAATGCAGTCTCTCCTTCACCGACTCCCCGCTGCTTTTTTCTTTTCTTCTCCTCCGGTCAAGGCGGATGGATTCCTGATAACGGACCGAGTGATATGACGCAACCAAGGTGAGAGTCGGCAAAATAATGGATTCATTATCGGTGAAGGCGGCGAACAAATATGCACACACATGGAAATCCATTGGGTTGGGGGTTAGGTATTTTTTTAAATTGCAAGGCTAAGTAATTTCTTTTAAATCAATTTAGTGAAATATTTATGCACAACTA